AAACAAAAGGCTCAACTTGAGAGTCAATTCAGCAGCTGAGGTATTTGAGCACATTAATTAAAGGCACGTTGAACATTCAACTCACTGGAGATAACCTCAAGACAGAGCTATGTGTGCCTATGTGATCCTACAGGATGTCCTATGTGATCCTACAGAATCCTACATAGATCACACCTTATGCAACAGGAATTTTTCAACGTAAGATGTGTGTTCAGCTTTGCAGGGGTCTCAGCTGATCTACAAAATGTCAAAGGCATTGTAGACGCTTGACATCTTACAAACGCACAAGACGTTCAAGAGTCTGTCATGGCTTATCACTTCCTGAGGCTCACCAGGCTACACCGCCACATATCGGAAAGTTGCAGAAATCCGCCATGAAGAAAACCACCTAGCTTGTCACGGATGCAAGCCTGGCTGATAAGGGGCAGCTCTTGGCCAGAAAGATAAAGGATACTAGTGAACAATTCATATAGCAAACCACTCTCTCGAATAGAGCATAGAATACTCAAACTACAAGAAGGTGAGCTTTGAGTAAAAGCCAGGTAAATTCAATCACGTGGACTATCTTTCACAACGACCGTGATTCAGTCTTACTAGTCGTAAAGGATAGGTTATCATTGCCATTTAAACCACACGAGTTTAAAAGTTGTTGAAATTAGCTGACATCGAAGTGGCAACAGAACAAGATGACATATTGCGACTGTACGGCAGCTACGGAAACGTGAAATTGGAAACAGAGCATTTACAACTGGGATCACTCACATTACAAAGTCTTTTAATATATATAGATAAGGAGCAAGAGAGCAACCAGTGAAAGGGTAGATCCACTCAATTTATGTGGGGGTCGGAGGAAGTGGGTGAAGTCCGAAACTTTGCATCAGTATTCATAAAGGAGAAGGACACAGTGGATGGTGAGTCTCGGGAGGGGTATTTTTAAAATTCTAGGTCTTGACATTGTGAAAAAGGTGGTGGTGTTGGATATTTTGAAAGGTGTTAAGGTAGACAAGTTCTCAGGACTTGATGGGATCTATCCCAGAATGCTGAGGGAGGCAGGTGAGGAAATTGCCAGAGCCTTGTATGAAACGTTTGTATCCTCTTTAGACACAGGAGAGGTCCCAGAGGACTGGAGAACAGCCAAAGGTGTTCCTTTGTTTAAGAAGGGCAACAGGGATAATTTGGGAAATTACAGGCCGGTGAGCCTTAGGTTAGTGGTAGGGAAATTATTGGAGAAGATTCTTAGGGATAGAGTTTGCTGGCCTTTGGAAAAATATGGACTTATTAGCGAGAGGCAGCATGGCTTTGTGTGGGGAAGGTCATATCTCAAACTTGACTGAGTCTTTTGAGGGAGTGATAAAGATGATTGATGAGGGCGGGGCAGTTGATGTTGTCTGCATGGATTTTTAGCAAGGCCTTTGACAAGGTCCCTCATGGCAGGCTGATACAAAAGATGAAGTCACATGGGATGCGTGGTGAGCTGTTTAGATGGATGCAGAACTGGTTTGGTCATAAAAGACGGAGAATAGCGGTAGAAGGGTGATTTTCAGATTGAAGATCTGTGACCAGTGATCTCAGGGATCAGTGCTGTGACCCCTGTTGGTAGCACTATACATAAATGATTTTGAGGAGATTGTAAGTGGCCTGATTAGTAAGTTTGCGGATGACACAAAGATTGGGGCAGTATGGACAGTGAAAAGGATTGTCAGAGGATATAGATAGGCTAGACGCTTGGACGGAGAAATGGCAAACGGAGTTTAATCTGGACAAATGCAAGGTGATGCCTTTTGGGAGATCTAATACAGGAGGGAAGTGCACAGTAAAATGGCACTACCATTAGGAGTATCAACATTCTAGGTGTATAGGTCCACCATTCTCTGAAAGTGGCAACGTAAGTGAATAATTGGTCAGGGCACAGAGTATAAAAATTGGCAAGTCATGTTGCAGCTGTGTAGGACTTCAGTTAGGCCACGTTGGAAATATTGTGTACAGTTCTAGCGACCACACAACCAGAAGGATGTGGAAGCTTTGTTACAGAAACAGTTTACAGGATGTTGCCTGGTTTGGAGAGCATTAGCTACGAGGACAGCTACAACTTGGTCCGTTTAACCTTTGGGGGTGACCTGATAGAAGTTGGCAACATTATGAGAAGCATGGAGAAAATAGATAGGCAGAATATTTTTCCCAGGGAGGAAATGTCAATTACTAGGGGACATAGGTTTAAGGTAAAAGGTGGTTTGTTTAAAGGAGATGTGAGAGGCAGGTTTTTTTTTTACACAGAGCGTGATAAGTATCTGGAATGCGGTGCCAGACAAGATGGTGAAGGTGGATACAATAGCAACATTTAACAGGCACCTTGACAGATATATAAATAGACAGGGAATAGAAGGATATGGACAGCTTCGAATCAAAGGCTTTTAGTTCAGAAAGGCATGTGTTTTGTGGGTCAAAGGGCCTGTTCCTGTGCTGTCCTTTGTTGTTTGTCTTCAATGTTCGAAACAAGCTCACCATGACAATCAGACCTGATCTTATGCATCAATTGCATTGCCTTCCACAATCATTATTATAGGCATAGCACAAGGAGGTCACCAGGAAATTATCAAAACCAAACAACTGCTCAGGGGGAGATGTGGTTCCAGGAATTGACTGCACAACAAAGCAAAAAAAAAAAAAAAAAATCAGTGTTTGCCATGTTAAGCAACTGCAAAATCAAATCCTCATGATCCTCGAGATGTCTGAATTACCTTCAGAACCATGGAGTGAAGCTGATGCTGATTTTGCAAATTTGCCCACTATCGAACACTGCTTGTTGTGTTTGAAGTGTACAACAGATTACCAACTATTTGAAAGAAATCTGTAATTCCAAAGTTTAACAAGATTTTCACTTTGTCACTTCTCACTATCTGAGGGACTCCAAACAATGAATGACCATTCAGCAGCTATGAGCTGAGAAAATTTGCAAATTATTTCTGTTTCATTCATCACACAAAAATAATCACACCTTTTTGGCTTTGAGCTAATAGAGCAGTCAAGAAATTCATGAAAACTCTGAAAAAAGTATCATAAAGAGCTGTCAGCTGTCAGCAAATCTTGGTGGGAACAATTATATCACATTCCTCATCTTTACAGAGTGACTCTTTAGTAGATTACTAGAAAGTCTTCTGCTGCGCTTATTTTCACACATCTTATGCACACATATTTTCCTGGGCTACCCTGCACAGCTAATGATCATATGGGGCTGAATGAAAGTACATGCATTGCAAAACATCAAATTTACAGCTACACTACTAAAGCACCAAAAACACCAGCCACAAACGTGGAAACTGATTTCATCAATGGCGTCTCTGATCAAAGTTAATAAATGCCCTACTCATGAGAGGAAGCGCCCACCGTACTTCAGTGATTATATTCCTTTGGGAACTACTTTCAGTTCATGAACAAATCTTTCATCTAATTGTACATGATTGAGTGCATTGCTAAATTAACACAAAAGGTAGTATATATAACTGTTACTGTTTATGCTCACATTTATTGTTTATATTTTTGGAAATAAGCCACTGAAACACAATACATTTCTCATTTACCAAGAAGGGAAGGGGTGCAGTGTAATGAAAATTGCATTGGATATTTTGTCCTTTTTAGGTTACTATACACATGTACCAGCAGAGGAAACTAAAAGGAGAATAGAGGAATCCAGGTCTGGTCTGGCTAGTGCTTTGTACAGTTTTAGAAAGACATTTCTACCTTTATTCTCCATTCTCTTTGACATAATGGCCAACACCCTATCTGCTTTCCCTATTAATTGCTGAACTTGGATGCTATCTTAATGTGATTCATGCACTAGGACTTCCAAATCCCTCTGTGCTACAGCTTTCTACCGTCATTCCCTATTTAAATGGCATTCAGATCTTTTTAAACTGCCAAAGTTCATTACCTCACATTTTCCCACATTATAATTCTTTACCAAGTTTCTGACCACTCATATAACCTGTCCATATCCCTCTATAAACACTTTGCATCATCCTCGCTTCGTGCCTTCCTGCCTAGTTTGTGTTAGCTGCAAACTTACCAAAGTAAGTCCACTTCCGCCATCCATATCATTAACGTATATTGTAAATGATAGTGGCCCCAGCACTGATTGCTATGGCATTCCAGAAGTTACAGGTTGCCATCCTGAAAATGCACATTTTTTCCTCTATCCATGGTAATATACTACCCCAACACCATGGATCTTAACTTATTGAGTCACTATATGTGTGGCAACTTATCAGATGCCTATTTGAAATCTAAATATTCAGTGCCTCCTCTTTACCTCTGCTGCTTGTTACCTCCTCAAAAACTGCAATAAATTTGTTAGGTATGATTCATGAAGCCATGTTGGCTCTGTTCGATTATTTCTAAGCTCTCTGCTGTTATATCTTTTATAGTAGATTCTAACATTTTTCCAGTGACAGATGTTAAGCTAACTGGCCTATAGCTACCTGTTTTTTTGTCTACCTCCATTTTTGAATAAAGGTGTTACACTGGAAGTTTTCTAATCCTCATGAATCTTTAAGAATCTAAGGATTCCTGGAAGATTATGACTAGTGTACCTGATATCTCTGCAACTACTTCCTTTAAAATCCTTGGATGCATTCCTTCAGGTCCAGGGGACTTATAGGTCTTGATCCCCATGTGGTTCCCTACTACTTTTCTATGGTGTTAGTTATTCTATTTATTTCCTACCCTCTTTAGCCTCTTCATTTCCTAGTATTTTGGAATGCTATCAGAGTTCTCTATTTTGAAAACTGGTGCAAAGTATTTATTCAACTCCTTTGCCATTTCCGCGTTATCCATTTTATTTCCCCAGCCTCGTTTTCTAAGGGCGCACTATTCAGACTCGGATGTATTCTGTATATAATGTTTGTACAAGCTGATACAGCTTCCCTGGGTAAACACTATCAGGTATTACCTGCAAGGAATTAAAATGTTATACATCCAGTAAGAAGGTGCTGAAGCTCCCTTACCTTGGAACAGGTGATAATGGTGGTGAGGAAGAGCATGATGGGAAGGTGAAGGAGCAAGGTGAGCCAACTAAATCAGGCATTCCTGGGGAGGTGCTCACTGCCTTGGTGATTACAAGCTCTGGGTCCAGGATGAAGAGCTCATCTTGGGAAATGTCAGTCACATAATGTAAGTGTTCCTGAAAGGGAGTGCAGAGAAATTAACTATTCAAGTTTATAAAGGTGTCTGGAAAGGAAAGGAAATAAACATTCACATTCATATTCCACCCTTCTCAACGTGAGGACATTCCAAACTGCGTATTGGCAAATTATGTACTCTTGAACCGCGATGATTGTTATAATCTGGGGAATGTAGAAGACACTTCACTCTCACAAACAAGTGATCTGACAATCTGCTATTTTAGATGAAAACAATTCTGCTTTTCTTCAAACAGTGTCACATGACACTGAGTCATGGGAATGCTACCCACTGGATATGTTGACACCAGTCTAGATGAGTGAGTTTCTAACTCTGCTGTTACAGCTTCATTCCAGCCAGAGAATAATATAATGATACATCACAGAGGGCGGTCATTTTTGTAAATTTCTTCTGGCATTCCTTCCAAAGTGGGATTCCCAAAATCAGAACCAGTTAAGTTGAACTGGTGATTCATAAAGATTTATATTATTTGTACTATATCCATATTTTCAAATCCATTAATAAAACTAACGATCCTGTATAATACTTGAACAGCTCCATTCCAACTGACCTTTACTTTTTAAATTGCATTGTTGTTTTATCTTCCAGGAACCACTATCACTTATCCCTTCATTGTCCAGACTGTTGGCTCCGGGCATGATTTACAGTGCACTTCACGTCATAGCCTGTTTGCCTGGGTTTGCTCCTGCTAGTTTCCCCTATTTTTTTGTTTAAGTCTCCCTAAGGTTTACATTGCTTCGCAATCCTCGATGCAATTAGGATGACAAATTGTTGACTTGCTCACAAAGTTCACGTCATTCTGAACAGGATCCAAACTAGTATATCCATAGAGTTTGTGCCTTTCAATACTCTCCCAATCCCCAGTGTTTCAACTACTTGGCTTCACTCCCGAGCCATAACATGGCTGAGGTCAGGAGCACCATACAAAAGATAGGGAATTCGGTTTTAAACTCAAAACTCAAAAACTGAACTCCGCTGTGAAACAGACACACACTTCTAATAATGCCTGACAACCAGACTATTAAACATATGACCATAAATTTAACAAGTGTGTGTTGTTAATGACAAATTGCTTTGCTTCAGCTAGTATTTTACAGAATCATTTACAGGAAATACCAGAACAGGATTCATTGTCTGTTTCAGTGCCATTGGTATAACTGCAAGTGATTTTGTGTACTTTAGAAATGGTGACAAAATGGAATTCTATCCTTAATACTAATCATATTAATTGAAGTTATGTAAAGTTGCCATAGTCCCAGAGGACCATAGACTGCTCTCTCATTACAAAGGGATGACTAGTAGTGGTTTAACTGGAGAGTCACCACACCTCAGGCAAGAGGTGAGGTTGAGAAGACTCCTGCACGGTAACCTCTGCCAGGATGGGAATTGAACCTACCCTGTTGGTGCCACTCTGCATCACAAATCAGCCATCCAACTAATTGAGCTAACCGAGTTGAGTATACATAGATGGAAGGCATTGAATGGATGGTTACTTGAGCATATAGAAAGACATATTTAATTAGGGTGTAATGTCTCACTCTTTGAATAAAACCATTCCAAATAAAGATAAGGTCTGGTTTCTTCCTTCACCAGTTGGCTGTCTATTGCCCCTAGAGTGTCCGAAGCTGAGGCGTGACCTTATAGAGATTTATAAAATCATGAGGGGCATCGATAAGGTGAACAGCCAAGGCCTTTTCCCTGGGGTGGCGGAGTCCAAAACTACAGGGCATAGGCTTAAGGTGACAGGAGAAAGATTTAAAAGGGACCTAAGGGGCAACATTTTCATGTCGAGGGTGGTGCGTGTATGGAACGAGCTGTCAGAGGAAGTGGTGGAGGCTGGTACAATTACAACATTTAAAAGGAATCTGGATGGGTATATGAACAGGAAGGGTTTAAGAGGGATTTGGGCCAAATGCTGGCAAATGGGACTAGATTAATTTAGGATGTCTGGCCAGCATAGACGAGTTGGACTGAAGGGTCTGTTTCCATGCTGTACTATTCATGACTCTGACTCTAATTAAACCTCATTAATCCTCGCCTATCCTTTGAGATGCTCCTGAAAATCCACCCCTTTAAACAAGCTATTGCCACCTCTTTTAATTATTGTGTAAGAAAGATGGTGTTTGAAAGCGCTAAGTAACATCATGAGGTTCTTACGGTACAGTGGTAGTGTCCCTACCTTTGAGTCAGAAAACCCAGGTTCAAGTCCCTCCTGTTCCAGAGGAGTGTCATAACATCTCTAAACAGGTTGATTTGAAAGTGTCTATCCAAGATTGTTCCTGGGAGAAGCTAAACGGAGTTTCATTGGTGGGCCTTCAGTACTGTACCAGTTATGCCTTACCATAGCTGTGTGAGAATGTTTCAGTGTAGAAATGTGAAGTTATTCTCAAATTGAAGCTGATATCTCACATAAGACCATTGTGTATCTCAGATGCAATGTAACTCAATATTAAGTAATATGCAATAACCTATCTACTTTTAATCAAAACTAAGTCCAATTTTTGCCTAAGTCATTGTGTGGACATCTTTCCCAATCAGCCTAGACTACTACTGGCAGGAAGCATTAATGGCAGAGAGTGTACCAAAGACATCCCAGATGAATACAGCAGAAACCAACAGATATAAGATGCGGGCAGCGCTGGGATCTCAATATACAAGGTCGTCTTAAAGTTTTATTTAGCCACATCATAGAAGAATAATGTCTCCAGCTTTAGCTCAGTTTCAATATTTAGCCTGAGATACCAATTCAATGCAACATCTTAAGAAATACTGTTTCACAAGAGTGCTGTAGAAGACATCTGCTGATGCTGTAACCAACAAGAACTGGAATAGACAGAAGAAAAATAAAAATCTACTGATTTATCACTTGATTAACATTAGCAAAATTCCTCTGACCCAGTGAAATTCTTTGAAGTGATGGTGCTGTTTTGGAAGCAAATCCAGAGGAACTGATACAAGTCAAATTCTGCTTCTGGTTTAGGTGTAGGGTTACAGTCACAGGTTGTAGACCCACAGAAAGGGGAGTTTGGCCCTTTCGAATGGTGCTGATCTCGCAAAAGAAGAAGCCTGCAAAAAACTGAGCTATCAGAATAAATGATAGAGGGTATCTGAAGCGTAGCTCCTATCAATCTTGAAAATATTCCCACACACACTATTGACCCCACTATCACTAAAAAAAAAACCCTCCACTGAGGATTCATTTGCTAAATAAGACTAGTTGTTACTGTCTCTGTAGTCTGCAGAGACAGCACTTAAGAGCTGTACAAATATTAAGGGGTCAGAGCCTCTGGTGTGTAAAAGGGGATCAGAATATTTTTAGTGCTCACTTCTCTGCGTAGACTTCATAGAACGGTGCAGCTCTTTCAACTGACTTACTCGTTTACCTCATTTTTCCCGTAGCCTGGCAAATTGTGTCATTACAGGAGTACAGCTGCTTCCCGACTGTAAGTTACCGTCTTAGCTGCTTTTCAAGCAGAGCACTTCCAACCAGGAAAGTACAGTGTTTCATGAAGAAATAAGTGGGAGAGGAACGCGTGCTGGTGTTTCACTGGTTCGGCTTTTCAAAAACAAAACTCGAATGACAGACAACACCAGGAACCTGCACAGCAGCTGCTTGAAGCAACAGTGCTTGAGGGAGACATAACTTCAGAATGTTAATCTCGAAAATCAGATCCTGAAAGCACCAGCTGGCCAGAGGCTGCCTGAAGCACAATGTACCACCTGAATTGATTATTTCCCCAGACACTGCTCTGTGCCCCCTTGGCAATCCTCATGTGTCCCACAGAGACACTGAGGATCAGCATAAAACAACAATCAGCTCTACTATGAAATAAGTTACAATATTTGCACAATAGAAGCAACACTGTCTTATCATCAATTATTCTGCCTATTCTAACTATGTTGTAAACTGACAACTACCTATAAATAATAACTTTTGATGTAACAAACACATCTGAAATACAACTGTGCCTTTAAAGACTCAGATGAAAAGTGCATCCTATAAAATAAGAGAATCTATATTAATCATTGCCTCACTGTGCTTTCATTATAGACCGAGAAAATGCTACAGCATGTTGAAATAAAAACAGAAATGCTGGAGAAACTCGGCAGGCCTGGCAATATTTATGGAGAGAAAAACCAAGTTAACACTCCGATTATGACTTGCTCTTTAAAACTGAAGACAGTCTTGGAGAAGTGATGGGTTTTATACTGTAGAAAATGATGGGAAGGAGCAAATGGAACAGAAGGGAAAGTCAGGGAAAGATTCGAAGGTGAGGGAGGTTAGAGGTCACAGGTATCACAAAAAAAAAAGGCAAATGGAATGCTAGTAGTTGTAAAGAGGAGGGATAGGCTCATAATAAAGGTTAATAAGAGGAGTTAACGGCAGACTATGGGTCAGGAATGAAAACCAAACCAGAAAAATAAAATCAGACACTTTGGATTCCTGCTGAGATTAGAGAAAACATAATGAAGTCAAATTTCATGATCTGTGGTTGTTTAACTTAGTGTTGATCTAGAAGTTTGAAAAGTACCTGAACAGAAAATGAGGTGCTGCAACTCCAGCTTGTGTTGAGTATGTTATCTAAATGCTGGGTGATGGCAGAGTTCTGAGATACAGTGTGATCTGGGTTTCTTAATAACATGTGGATCGTAAAAGGTTCATCAAACAATTAGGAAAGTTAATAGATAGAAACATATAAAATCGTGAAGGGTTTTGACAAGGTAGATGTAGAGAGGATGCTTCCAGCTATGGGAAAATCTAGAATGGGGAATCACTCATTAAAAATGTAAAAGCAGAGATTAGATGAATTCTTTTTTCTCTCAGATGGCTGAGTTTTAGAACACTCTTCCTGAAAAGGTGATGGAGTAGAGTAAAGCTTTTTTTTAAAGCAAAGGTAGATGTGGTCTGAAGAGGGCTCACTGGACTCAAAACCCTAACTCTGCTTTCTCCCCACAGATGCTGCCAGACCTGCTGAGTTTCTCCAGCAATTTCTGTTATGGATTCAGATTTCCAGCATCCACAGCAGCTCCGTTTTATTTTAGATATGTTTTTGTCGAGCAAGGGGGCGAAAGGTCATCAGGGATGGAGAAATATGTAGATTTGAGGTTACAATCAGACCAGTCGTGATCTTATTAAATAACAGAGCAGGTTCGAGGGGTTGAATGGCATGCTGCAAGTCCCAACTCACATGTCCACTTGAACACTGCAGCACTGAAGAAACATCATGATGGTTATATTAAAATGGCAGGGTACCAGAGGGTCAGGTCATGCTTGCAGACAGCGGGGAGGCGTTACACAAAGCGGTCACCCAGTCTGGGTTTGATCTCTCAAATGTGAAGACGACTTCATTGTGTGGGGGATGTGGTGTTGGAGGTGATATCATGGAGACAGCCAACATGGTTGAAGATGATCCTTTGAATATGGTGGCTGGTTTGGGCAGAAAGTGAAAACAAGGGGAACCCTATCAAGATTCTGGGAGGGAGGGGAAGGGGTGAAGGCAGAAGTGCGGGAAATGGATCAGACACAGTTGAACACCTTGTCCACCAAAGTGGGAGGGGAAATCCTTGGAAAAAAAGAAGACATAATGAGAAGCACTGTGGAAGGTGGATTCAGCGGAAACTGATGCAACACAGATCAAGAAACAAGGAGAATGGAATGCAGTCCTTACAAGAAGGATAAGGAAGAAGTGCAGTTCAGGTCGCCTTGGAGTCTTTAGCTTTGCCTATGATTAGCAGGCAGCAAATCTCTGGGAATAAAGACAAAGTCAAGGAAGGGAAAGGCCGAGTCAGAGATGGAGCGCTGAAAGTGAGTGAGACTGTGAGAAATCTGTAAACAAATCCAACTCATTTTTCCAGAGCCAAGTGAAAACAGGAAGTGGCATCAAGCTAGCCATCAACGTACTGGAAGGGAACTCAAGTCGAATTAGAACAAGGAATGTTCCACAAACCCCGCTGAAAGACAGGCATACGAGGGTCCATGCGGGTAACCATAGCCACACCTTTTTCCTTGGAGGAAGCAAGGAATTATTTAACGATAAGTACATAAATAAGAAATATTTGCAGGGATATGGGCCAAGCGCAGGCAAGTGGGACTAGCTTAGCTTGGGATTATGGCTGGCATGGACTTGTTGGATGGAAGGGCCTGTTTCCATGCTGTATGATTCTATAAGAGAACAACTTCAGCAAGGCAGAGGAGGGCAGTGGTAGATGGGGAATGCTCCAGCCTTCAATCAAGGAAGAAGCATAGCGCCCTCAGACTGTCCTGGAAGTGGATGCATGTGTAGAGCAATTGAACATTGAAAGTTGAACATTGGTGAAATGATGGGTTTATAATAGCATTCCTATTTGTGGATTTTGGAAAGATGATGAAAGCTGGTTGTGCAGGGTTGGAAGTGGTGGGGGGTGGGGAGGGGGTGCTACAAGGTGGGGAGCCACAGAAAGAACAGCCCCAGAGGAAATGAGATTAGTTACAGTCCTGGAAACAACTGCTTTGGAGTTCAATATCAGGAAGGACAAGGTCAGCAGATACATGGGAACAGCACCACCTGCAAGTCCCTTCTAAGCCACTCACCATCCTTATTTGGAATGTATCATCGTTCCTTCACTGTTACTGGGTCAAAATCCTGGAATTCCCTCCTTAATGGCATTGTGGATGTACCGACACTAAATGCACTGCAGCAGTTCAAGAAGGCAGCTCACCACTACCTTCTCAAGGGCAACTAAGGATGGGCAATAAACGCTAGTCCAGACAGCGAGACCCACATCTCATGAATGATTAAAAATAAAACAAAGTTCAGCAAGTTCAGAGAAAAGTATGTTAGTGTTATCAGAAACACAGTCAGCCACTATATGCTGCTGCTGCTCTGTCCCTCCGAAATGTTAAAGGGTTAATATCTGTTCTGCTGACATATAAGAAATTAGGTGCTTCGTGGGCGCCCCTGTCTCGCAGACAAAATGGGGTAATCTAATTATACTCTGCTGTCTGTAAATGTTGAACGAAGGCTAAAAAGATCTCGCAGGCAAAAGGTGATAATCTAATTATACTCTGCTCTCTGTAAATGCTAAAAGGATAAGGAACTACCTTGTCTTACACATTGTTTTTGGGCAGCTAACCCTTGTTTTACTGTTAGATGATTAAGTTACGTGATTATGGGGGAGAAAAAGATTGCATCTTGTATGCATGTCTGACTGTGCTGTAAAAACCTATATAAAGGGAGGACAGTTCCCTTACAGGGAGCATCGCTTGACACGGCTCCGCAAGCTCTGCGAAGTCTGTTAAGTGATCCTCCAAAGCTTGTACTTACTTAAATAAACTGTGGCTTTTCACAGAAGTTGGCGGATTGCGCTTGTATCAAGTGCGAAGGAATCTCCTAAAAGGGAACTCAACACCTCTAGATATCATGCAATCATTAGCTAATTTAAGACTTGGTCACTGAGGTGTCAGTAGACACCCATCCATCTACCAACTGGGATTGTCAAGGAATCGCTGGTAATTCCACTTTAATCCAGCTGACTTTGCACAAATGCTTATAAAGCTTCCTCTATACAAAAGTCATCAAGCTATTTTCACTGGTTTGGTACTCTGCCTCAGAACTGTAGCTTAACAAAGAAACAGAGAACAACAGAAATTTCAATTTATTTGCATGCTTCGTATGGGGAACAAAAATCACCAAAGGTGCTTCATAGTTTTGTAAATCATTCAAAAGTAGATGACCAGCCAGAGGACGTGATATCGGGAAATGTGAGAAAAAGCTTATTAAAGTGATAGGCTTTAATGAGAATATTAAAGGAGGAAGGGTGGTTGAATGAAAGGAATTCATGTGAGGTCAATTTCGGTGGAAGAAGACTCCAGCTGATTCCAGAGATAGGGAGTGGCAAGGTGGTGAAGAGTTTTTTTTTTAAACATGGAGATAGAATTTATATTTGAGGCACCAGGTTTCAACGTAAATCAGCAAGATGATGGGCGAGTGGAATCTTGCATGGAATAGGACTGGGGGCTGCATAATTTTGAATGAACTGAACTTTCCAGTCATTTCACAACTATAATTATCATGTCACAAGGTGGCAAAGACATGGACAGAGTTTCCATGGTAGAGGGGGTGAAGTAGGATTATCACAGATGATGAAGGGCGAAAGAGGCAGTCTTTGTAGTGAAGAAAATATGGAGTCAGAAATTCAGTTCAGGTTGTAAAGAATTGCGAAAATTGTGAACTTGCTTGTCCAAAGACAGGAAGAGTCTTTTTGCTTAACCAGAATGGTATTTATATTATACGTAAAATGATCCTCATGTGCCTTTACATGGGGTTAGAAATGTAAACGATAGTCGCTTTTAAATAGAATGGAGTGCCATATCAGAAAGTTAGTAAGTGATGTTCACACCCGAGTCCATAAACTTTAGTCTGGAAGCACTCTTTGGAGACTGTATTGTATTGAGCAAGTGCTGTACTGTCAAAGGTGCCACCTTTATGAAGAAATGTTAAATTGAGATTCAATATGCACTCCCAAGTGGATGGAAATGTTATCATAGCACGAGTCAAAGTGAAATGAGTTCCTACCAATGTTTATCTCATTACTAAAATACTGAAACAGATTATCTTGCTGCCTACTGCATTGCGGTTTCTGGGACCTTACCATGTTAAAATTTGCTGCTGAGTGTCCTACATTAATGACCAGTGACTACATTTCAAAGGTACTTAATTGGCTGGGAAGTAACGTAGATCATTGTGATATTCTTTTTGTCCCATCTGGAGTGAGATTGCCGTGATCTCATTTCATTTAGACACCGAAAGAAAAGACCCTCAATGTACATGTAAACCTCAGGAACAGAAAGATGAAAAGACAGAGTCATAGAGTTGTACAGCACAGAAACAAACCCTTCGGTCCAACTTGTCCATGTCGACAAGGTATCCTAAATTAATCCACTCCCATTTGCCAGAATTTGGCCCATAAACCTCTAAACCTTTTAAATTTGTATACCCATCCAGATGCTTTTTTAAATGCTATACTTGTACCAGCTTCCACCACTTCCTCTGGCAGCTCATTCCATACATGTACCATGCTCTGGGTGAAAAAGTTGTTCCTTAGGTCCCCGTTAAATCTTTCCCCTCTCTCCTTAAACCTATGCCCTCTATGCGGCAAAACTGGTGCTGAGTTAACCACCTTGTATTTCCCTGCAGCAAGACTATTTCTGTTATCCAAAGGTTGATGAATCTAGGCATTTGCTGGGGACTAGTCACTGACTCTGTAGATACATCTCACACAACTCGGCTTGTGTTTAGTTCAGCAGGGTGCAAGTGAGAAGAATATTTGATAGTCGCAATCAGTGAGGCCATTAATCAACAAAAGGTAGCATGTCATTCATCACTTGCGAGTCTATTCTTACCTGTGCTCGATCTATTCTGTAAAATCGGTCAGCGGTAGTGGCTGAAAGGAAAACAAACAGAAATTAAAATGAAGGATTAAACTCCAAGCTGGCTGCTCCCCACAGTGTTGTGTGGAACCGTTGCAAAATAGAGAATCGCATACTGTTTTTGTTCAGAATTGCCTTTGCTGAAACAAAAATTTGATGCACAACACCATTGGCCAGAACCTGTCAGAAAATCAGAAGATTTCGCTTTCAAACTTCTGGCATAATTCACCTACTCTGTATCAATCATTATGACAGATTCACTAGACCTTGGGAGATAGTGAACAGTGTATACTAATGTGGTGCCTCTATTCAAAAAAGGTGATGAGAACATATGGAAACTACGGACCCAATTGTCTTAATTCAATTCGCCATAAATTACGTGATCATCCATCAGGGATTTTTTTTGTGAGAATAGAGAAGTTTATGAGATTGAATACAGGCATTCAAAATTATGACGCATTCTGATAGAGGATGCAATTTCTTCCTAACTACTGTATCAAAAGTGTTGATGATGAGAGTACACAGATTTTAAATTGATTGGCGAAAGAACCAGGTGGGATTAGGAGATTTTTTTTGGACACTAGACTATAAGACCACAAGATAGAGGAACACAGTTAGGCCATTCAGCCCACTGAGTCTGCTCTCCCATTTGATCATAGTGATATGTTTCTCACCCCCCATTCCCCAGCCTCTTCCCATAACTTTGATCCACTTACTAAGCAAGAACCAATGTATACATGTCTTAAAGACACTCAGTGACTTGGCCTCCACAGCCTTTTGTAGCCTTGAGTTCTACAAATTTACCATCCTCTGGCTGAAGAAATTCCTCCTCATCTTAGTTCTGTAAGAGGACTGTGCCTTCACTCTGAGGCTGTGCCCTCGGATCCTAGTCTAGTTCTTATGATCTAAAATGATTGAAAGATTGCTGGAAGAAGATTTAATGATACATTTCAAAAAAGAATTCGATAAATATTTGAAAAGGAAATGTTTGTTGGGTTATGAGCAAAGTGCAGAAAAGCTTCCTTCTATGCCAGAACCATTCTTTGGCTGAGGCCAGGACTAACTGGGTAATCTTGAAAAGGTTGGCATAGGCACAATGGATTGATTTCCCTCCTTCCGTACTCTTATAATATGAGATTCACTTTGAGTAGCCACAGGAATACCACTAAGGACTGAGAGAATATACAACAAACACTTGATGATAACTAGGAACAGAGTGAAATAGATCTGTCTGTACTCTTTGTGAGAATGGCTGGTTTCATTATTGCAGTGAATTTACAACGGTATCTACTTGTTCCCATGAGACTTTCTTTCTGCACATGGGAATGTGATGTTATTTTCCCATAGTTGACAGGTTTCAAATTATCATTAGAAGGTTTTTATCTCCCAACTTCTTTCACATCACTGGGATTCTGTTTGGTTCTTCCCAGCACACAAGGAAAGTGAACGTTTGTATGGACATCAAGACAAGGGTCTAGGCCCGAAACGTCAGCCTTCCTGCTCCTATGATGCTGCTTGGCTTGCTGTGTTCATCCAGCTCTACACCTTGTTATTTAAGACCCCACGTAGTAGCTTTCTACCTTACCATCCCACCAGCCATAGCACCTGAGCCTGCCAATCAGCCACCACTATAGATACTCAATAACCATGCTCATTAAATAAAATTACAGTAAAGCACAAAAGGTGTGCATTTGTACACAACGGTTACAAAATGTGCTTCTATCTACAGTATAAGAAAATGCTTCTCTACATGCAGTGTTCTAAATAAGCTGGTATCTACAATGCATATACAAATTGTGTAGCTGTTCATTGAGAATAAGTTTAGTCATCCTACGCTCTCAGCAGGCCGCTGCCTTTGGATACATCGCATTTAGACACGTGATTCTACATGTTGTTTTCATATCCCCTGCCTGGGCTTCCTTTGGTTTTAGCTGCTCTCTGGGAATGTAGACAGGTGAATTTAACTTCAATGTTGAGCAACCTTCTTGTTACAACTTCCAAAGTCTCCTCCTTCGTTTGACCCACATTTCAGTGAAGCAACCTCAGGTATTTGCCCACACGAAAGACGCAATCTCATTGTGAGCTTCTATAATGTACAAATGTATCTATAATTTATGCAGAATGCTCTGTCCCTCTGGAAACAAAAAAAGTGAACCAAAACCTTCAACATTGCAGCTAAAATCACATGGAACAATAACACCTCAGTTCCAGTCATCTAACTGAATCACAATTGTCTTTTTGTCTATTGTTGTTCAAGTCCTCTGTTCAAAACTCTAACCTGGGCATGCTATTAGACTCCCATCTGTGTGCCACTCTGTACGTAATGCACTCTAACCTGTGCGCTGCTCTGTGTATCACAAGCCAGACGTTAAGCAATCTATTCCATCCTGCAGAATCCGTATGTACTGCAACATTTTAGGATGTTCATCTTTATGAGTCTCGAAGGGGTATTTACATTAATACACATTAGGATATTGTTACAAAATTAAATACAGTTAACCCTCAGAGATACACAGTCTGATGTACAAATTAAATCTTTGAAGTGTTTTACAGTCCACCTTCCAAAGATAGAGAAAAATACTAAGTAGTATGTGCAGGATTAAATTGACAATACACACAATTGACAATAGGGATGGGCAAGAAATGTTGGCCAGCCAGCGACGCCCACATCCCACAATGACTAGAAAAAGAAACACACAAGGAACAGTTTAAGTAACTCAGAGATAGTAAGAACTGCAGTTGCTGGGGTCAGGAATAACACAGTGTGGAGCTGCAGGAACACAGCTTGCCAGGCAGCATCAGAGGTGCAGGAAAGTTGACGTTTCGGGTCAGGACCCTTTTCTGAAGAAGCTCCACACTACAGTTTAAATAACATTGTGAGCTCCTATTAAGACCATAATTTACGCAGACATTGGGCAGTAAATGCACACTCTAGACCAAAGGCACTTCATGGAACATTCTTAAGACAGCCTTGATGTGTAGATAGTAGGCTGTTAAGGCTCCAGTCATTTTCTCCATGAGTGAAAGCTAGGATTGCCAACTCTCCAGGACTATTCCAGAGAAAGGGATTAATCTCCATGACTCCATCAGTTTATATTTATAGAGGATCTTTAATGCAGTAAAATGTTTGAAAGCACTTGAGATGAGATTCAACCAAATAAATCTGCCTACTGACTAACAAAGAGAAATTAGGACAACTGACTGAAAGTCTGATCAAAGAAGTTGGTTGAAAGGAGCATCTTAACAGACACATTCATCATCATAGAATCCCTACAGTGAGGAAGCAGGCCATTCAGTTCATTGAGTCCACACCAACCCTCCAACAGTATCCCACCCAGACCTACCCCATCCCTGTAACCCTGCATATCCCATGGCTCACCCACCCAACCTGCATATCCCTGGACACTATGGCCGATCCTACTGAACGACACATCTTTGGACTGTGGCAGGAAACCAGAACACCCGGAGGAAACCTACACAGACACAGGGAGAACATGCAAACTCCACACAGAGAGTTGCTCTAGGCTGGAATCAAACCCAGGTCCCTGACGGTAACCATTGAACCACCATGTCGCACCATATAGATAGATATGAGGTGCACAGAGGAAATTTCAGTGAAAGCAGAGCTATCAATGGTGAGGTAATTACAATTAGGGGTGCACAAGATGGTTTATCTGGGAGTGGCACAGAAATCTTATAAGCTTGTAGATCTGGAGAAGATTACAGAGGTAGGGAGGGATGAGACCAGTGGCAAGTAACATTCGCATTACACAAATGCCAGGCAATGTCCATCTCCAACAAGGGACAATCTAACCACCGCCCCTTGACATTCAATTGTGTTACCATCACCCTCGGGCGACTGTCTGTGTGGAGTTTGCACATTCTCCCTGTGTCTGTGTGGGTTTTCCCCAGGTGCTCCGGTTTCCTCCCACAGCCCAAAGATATGAAGCTTAGGTGGATCAGCCATGCTAAACTGCCCATAGGGTTCGGGGATGTGTAATCTATGTGGGTTAGCCTTGGGAAATGTGGGGTTGGAGGGTGGGTCTGGGTGGGATGGTCTTTGGAGGGTCGGTTTGGACAAAATGGGCCAAATGATCAGTTTCCACACCGCAGGGATTCTATTATGATCTATCTTTTCTATGATTCTATGATCTATGGAACTGCCCATTGTCAACACCATGTGAGTTACCATGGACCAGAAACTGAAATGGACTCACCATACAATTATAGTGGCTACAGTAGCAGGTCAGAGGTTAGGAATACTGCAGTGATTAACTCACCTCCTGACTCCTCAAAGCCTGTTCACCACCTACAAGGCACAAGTCAGGAACGTGTTGGAATGCTCTCTGCTTGCCTGGAAGGGTGTATCTCCAACACCACTCAGGAAGCTAAATTTGAAAACAATTTCAGTTTCATAGATGATGAGTCTCGGAGAAGCGACCTAAATTTATAAAGGCTGGGAGCAGAACAGTGAAATTAAGAGAGATTAAGAAAGGAACTGTGGATTTGAAAAGAGGTGAAGGCT